TAAGGTGTTCTGAGAGTGATCCGACGGCCCTGTTGCTTGCAGTGTGAATCTAGAGCTCATTGTCCTCCTCTGCAATGTAAACCTCTATATATTCTCAATCCTGCACAGCAATCTCTTTCCTACATGTCTCTTCCTCAATCATGATTTAAAGCAGTGGTTCTCAACTGGTGGGTCGCGACCCAAAAGTGCGTCGCAGACCCGTTTCGAGTGGTTCGCGGATGTGTGAGTGAAGAGAGGAAAAAGTCAAACTTTTATTTTGAAGGCCCGATTTTCTAACGCTGTGCATGCAGTCGGCGCTGGACTGGAAGTACCGGACACCATAAACGGTTTTGAAAACTTCTGTCACATCGTGATCATCTTCTCAATAAAATATCTTTGCTGATGTTTTTTCGAGTCTTTTGGCCAATCAGAATCAAGATGGTTGCCGGGAGTCCCCAAGGAGAATAACTTTGCGGTAGAACTCTTCTTTATACATCCATTGGTACAACTTCAGATACAAATGAACACATAAAATATGACCCCCGGTTTGATGATTGACAGATCACAGAACAATGGGGGCTATCTACCCTTACCCACAATTTAAAGTAAGTCACACAGACTGTCTCCTCTTTACTCTTCTCGCAGCAAGATGTCAGAACAAAGTGAAAAACAAACAATGGCATAAAATATTATTAATATGTCGGGTAGTAATAGATTTATTTATTTTCTTCTCAGAGTGTACCAGAATGCATAGTTTATGTTAGTATGTCTAAAAATCTCCTGGGGGCGAATCCCCCCAGACCCCCCTGCTGGGGTTGGGTTTTCAGCATGTGTGCCTTTTTATATAGTTCAGCTTTGAGTCCATCATCTCATTAAACCTTTTTTAAAAGCATACTTTAGTTCTGTGAAGGGATATAAGGGATATATGCACTGTACTTCACTTTTATTATTATTGTATGCTGAAAAGCGTATATATTACAGCACGATTTTTTGTTGAATAGATTTGAGTGCTTCAAAATGTTGGGTCGCGATTTATTGACCAAGTAAAAAGTGGGTCCCGAGGCCTGACCAGTTGAGAACCACTGCTCTAGAATCTCCATCAAAAGTTCAGAACAAGCGTAGGTTAGAGGTTATTTTCTTTTATATATCAACTTAAATTAACACCGGATTTTGAATATGCTTTATACGCCCAAATATGGGGAATGTCTAGCTGATGTTCGAGATGAGGCAGAAACATCAAGGCAGACACACAGACATCATGAGAGGAGGTGAATGGAGGTGGAGGAAGGCAGGAAAGGGACGGGGGGGTAAGGGGTCCCTCATCAGCTCCTTACCTTGGGAGGAACTTCCTCTCCGCTGACCTGGGGTTCGGCCCTACTAAGACCCTGAGGGTGGTGGAGGGGAGGTTGGGGCTGGGGGTCAGTGCGTGCGGGCGATGGGTCCTGGGAGAGCAGCTGGAGTTGTGCAAAGCTAGAGTTCACGCCGGCGGGCTCGCTGAAGGACTGCGAGCGAGAGACCACGGGCGGAGGAGGAGGAGGAAGAGGAGGAGAGGGGGCAGCGCTGATGCTGCTTTTTAACGCAGCCAGGTGGGACCACTGGACCTTTGATGGAGGGAGGAAGGGAGGAGGAGGAGGAGGAGGAGGGGGGGAGGAGGAAGGGGAGGTGGAACAAGCAGACAACACAGTGAGACATGAAGGGAGATGTGTGGATGTTCACCAACATGCTTATATGTAAATACACATGCATACAGCACGACACGACATGATGATGGGATTCATAGTTTGGGATTTAAATCGATGCAAATGCTTAAAGGATAGTTCCATACAAGTGCAGATTATGTTCTACTGTTTCAGCACAGAAGGAAGATATAAGGGTCTCCATATTCACTTCGCTGATTGACCAAAAAACCTAGTACAGAAACCCAGGAGTGAGGGAGGAAGAGGAGGAGGCGAGGAAAGGAGAGGAGGAGTTACCTGAGGCTCCATGGGTCGTTGCATGGCCACGGCCTCGGAGGCGGAGGGGCCGCCGTTGGAGAAAGGTTCAGAGGATCGGGGAGGCAGAGGGGGCTGCTTGGGAGGGGGGGCGACCTGAGGGGAGCCCTGAATGTTCTTACGGTACCTCTCGTCTGCCTGAGGGAATCCAACAGGACAGGGTAAGGAACCGGGGAAATATTTCATCAAATGTTCATCATTACTGTCCCTTAATAGTCTTTCTCACACTCAGAAACCTTCACAGACAAACGCCAACATTTTGTGGATATCACATTAAACATGCTTGAAGCCCAATCAAGGCAGCCGTACAGACACAGGTAGAGGTGGAGACAGGACGCTTTCAAAACAGATACATCCTTGTGTTGGATCAAAGGAGGGAAAGATGGTTGTTAATGACACGGAACAGCTCTGGTGATGGGGTCCTGCATGTTAGTCTGGGCCTCAGCCACCATCATGCAACGGCCCACACACAGAGTCAGAACAGAGTGAAGAGATTCACAAGAGAACTCCTGAAACCTCCTTATTCTGAGGAGGAGGGAACCCACCCGGGGGAAAGGACGTCTAATGAAAAGTGGCTTCAGCTAAAATCAATTCATTATGTGGGAAGTAATACAGCATTTTTTGGGGGGACTCCTGCTTAGACTTCCACTTTAAATAATGATTTATCTTTCTCCCGCTCAGACTGCTTCAAGTATAAATGAAGACGTATAAATCCAGACGGTTTTAGTTGTCAAGGAGACTAGCAACTAGAGTGCCAAGAGAGGGTGGAGGATAGCAGCTCCGTTTTATTCAGGACACAAAAAGCCTGGTTGCTATGGGGTTTCTATTCTCCATCTCCCCCCCCCCTGATTGTTTCATTCAAAGGGCCTGACTGAGAGGACCCATGTTGTAACAAATTGCTCTGGCCTATCGCCACAGCATTCACAAAAGACAATTAAATGCAACTATTTGTGCAAAAAGAAACCAGCATTTGCTGCTGCTTGCATCGTGGTCAGTGAGGCTGTGTGAAGACAAGCAAGAAGAAGCTGGAAAGAGCAGGCAGAGCCGAGGAGGAGGTTCACCTCTCTGATTGGCTGAGGAGGAGGAGGAATGACCGGCCTATCGGGCTCCAGACTTTCTGCCTGGGGAGGTTCAGAGTCAGGGAGTTCAGTCTGATAGGGGGTGGGGGGGTTTGAGAGCTGGTTTGGACATGTCTCATCTGAGTCGTTGCTCTGGGATTTGTCTGAGGGGATTGTGTCAAGTTCTCTGGAGGACTCAGAGGAGCCTTTTGCTACGGGAACAGCAGCGTCGAGGACCTGAGCGTGAGGGGGTGAGGGGAGGGCTCTGTCAGGGGGCAGGGTGGAGGTCTGTGGAGGCTTGGTCTTGTTGGGTTGGTGCTGCAGCGACAGCAGGTAGGCCTGCTCCTGCTGCAGCCGCTGGTGGAGACGCTCGGCCTTGCGCTGCTCCTCCAGCTCCCGCCACTTGAACTCCTGTTGCAGAGCGTGGGGTCGATGCAAGGGGGTGAGAAGAGAGCTGCTGTCGGCCGGACAAACCTGTGCCAACTGTTAAATGCTTTCCTTAAAACACGTTTATACAGTCAGGCTTTGGCAGCCTGTTTTATTGCAGATTTTACACACCGGGAACTCACTTTTAACGGTACACTGTAACTGAATAAATGTAATAGATTATATAGAATAGAGAGGAGGAGTTCGGAGTTCCAACCATTTGGCAAATAATTGATTCGGACAACTTGCAAAATACAAAAACAGAGGATATGTTGACAAAAAACGTTACACAACATTTCGTATTCAAATAAATGATTTACCAATTTCACGATCACAAGATGACTCAACAAAGCCAAAGATATTAAAATAACTATACCAGGCTGCATGAGGTGTGTGTGTGTGTGTGTGTGTGTGTGTGTGTGTGTGTGTGTGTGTGTGTGTGTGTGTGTGTGTGTGTGTGTGTGTGTGTGTGTGTGTGTGTGTGTGTGTGTGTGTGTGTGACTGACCAGCAGCATGGCCTGTTCCCGCAGCAGCTGCTCCTGCAGCATCTCCAGGTGTCTCTGCTCCTCCTCCAGCTGGCGCCTGATGTAATCCTGTCAATCAGAGCAGAGCAGGTTAGAGAGACACGGTGTCCAGCTCCACGCTCTGTAACTTCGGCCCAATCCCAAACCACTCCCTCGACCCTACCCCTCCGTCTGTAGCCACACTAGCAGCTCAACGAGGCTCCCTCCATTAAGGGTTAAGGGTATAAATACAGCGGCAAGCTTTGGGACGGCCTCCCCTCTCTCCGGCAGAAACAGGAAATGCCGTAACTGTG